GAGCAAGTTTTATCGGAATTACAGAGTGTTTCTTCACTGAAAGAAGAGCAAAACACTGCTCTGGAGGCTTTTCTACCTATCACTGACACTCTGGTTTAAGTAATTTCCCTCTGGGATTATTAAAGTCTTTCTGATTCTGATTTTGATAACAGTTCAGTCCATCCTCTCAATAATAGGCGGGGTCAGCCAATGCACTGCCAAGGAGAGGCGGCCCTGAGCCGTCCACAGTGTCCCCGATGCAGCCGCCACAGAGAACATGCAGGAAGCCGAACTAGGTCTGAGAAGAACAGATCAGGCAAGAACAGTTCAGGGATCCTGGAGTTCTCCACACGATCAGAGGTTATGACCCAAACAGGAAACAGAGGGGTCCAGGCCTCCAGGAATCCTCAGAGTCCCATATGTCGAGCAACCAACTCAGACAGGAACGCACAGAAAAAGACAGGCAGAATGCTGCAGGAGTCCAAAGGAGGTTCAGGCGAACAGGTCAGACGGGGACAGACAGCGCCAGTGGATGAGAGGGAACGCAATCAGGAAAATAAAATCATTAGGAAACACTGAAACGCTCTCATCACTGGCTAGGGAATAAACTCGCCTGAAGACAGAGGCTCCAGAATAATCTCACTGGAACAGGGACATGAAGCTTATGATAAACCAAACGGATTAACAGACAGACCAACAGGCATAAAAAGACAATAGCAAACAAACAATGATCTGGCCCTGATAGCTCAGGCTGAACCAAATATAAAGGAGCAGACGCAGGTGGATCAGATGAGTGATAATTAGAAAACCGGGCAGAGTTAGGCAGGTGAGTGAAATGAACAATTAAGGTGAGCCATCAGGGCAGATCATGAGATATAGGCTACGTTCACACTGCAGGCCTTCATGCTCAATTCCGTTTTTTTTTTTTTTATCCGGTTTTTTTGAGTTGCTGTTCACATTTCCAAACATATGCGACGTGATCTTCTGTGTGAACTTCATTCATACAACCTAAGTGTTCCTCATGTGCAGTGGAGGACGCAATGACGTCACAAGCCAGCGTGCTCTGTGTTTACGGTAGTAAACATGGATGGTAGCACTGGAGCGCATCTTGCGATCTTTCCCAACTTTAAGAACTCAATCTTTTTTTAAGATGGTTAAACATAAATACAACTCTTCGCATTATCGTCCACCATTGTTGTTGTTTTTCTTGACGCTTCTGCGTAGCAAGACCCAGAATAGTGACCTTTGTCGGGTATTAATGACATTCAGGTCGGATAAATGCGACCTGCGATTCAGGACCACATAGTGGTCCCAAGTGGCCTGGGTTGGATTGGAAAAAATCAGATCTGTGTTGTTCAGACTGTCATGAAAAGATCAGATCCAGGTCGCATATTGGCAAAAACATCGGATTTGGGTCACTTCAGGCGGTGTGAATGTGGCCTTAGAGGGTGATATGTTTTAGGGCAGTGAATAAGGCCAGAATACTGCATAGAACCGTGTTTTTGCCATTAGAGTAAAGAGGCAGGAGATGGACGCAAATCGCTAATCTAGAGATAAATCTAGAGATAAACCTAGAGATAAATCTAGAGATAAATCTTGCTAGGGGCATGTAGTGGATAAATAGTTGGGCTGAATACTGATCCTTGGAGAGCCACACAAGAGAGTATGATTTATGAAAGCCTTCACCAGGGAAGCATAGTCAATTCTGTCATTATGTGTAGAGTGGAAGCAAAGCTGCGATGTCCTGCAGCTGAATGTCATTTACTTAATATTATTACAATATTAAATCATTTCAATATAAAAAAATTAGAAAATATTTATACGAAAGAGGAGAATAATTTAGCGCTAACTGTTTTTGTCTCTTAGTGGTTGTTGGAGATGATTCTGCCTCAGGATAACATCATTATTGCATCAATGGGTGTAATGTACATAACCTCCAGCAGGGGGCACTCCTGTATTTATTTACTGCTATCATGTTTGCCTGGTATTTTATGATTCTCAGATTCAAACATCAAGCATCATGTGAGAAAGTCTTGTCCTTCCTATATATTATAGGGTTCTGAGCCCTCAGATGATGCATGAGAGAGTGGAAACCTGGTTGTGTTAATTATAAGGTTAAGTGGAGAACCTCCTCCCTCAGCAAAAACTCCAACACATACCGCTCTGACTGTAAATCACAGGTTTGGCCTTCCTCACTCTGAGCTGGGGGTCCATAAAATCAGGAATCTGTGTAGCTCCGTCCAGATGGTTCTCGGTCTGCAGATGTTTGGACATAAATCATGAGGGATGTCCCCGCCCCCTCCTGTTTCTGAGGGCGGAGCAGGTAGAGGAGCATCTCCTCCTGCTCCATCATTGACCACCATCAACATTACAAGCTCTCAACCTGTAATAACTATGCGAACAAAACATTTTTTTGCATCAGTCATAAAACCATGACAAAAAAAGCACTGAATATTGGAAAACTGTAAATCATATACAAGTCTTATGTTTACATTTGATCCACATTTTTACATTTTTTCACTGCTGCACTTTAGAAACGGAAATGTCAAGACAGCTGTACTGAACAAAATTATGTTTTGTATACAAAACGTCAAAAAAGTCTGTCTAAAAGTTTAAAGTTGGTTACAAAACTCTTTAATTTTAGGTATTAGCAGTAATTGCAATTATAAGAAATGAATTTAAAAAAATTATTAACATAAATGGTAAAATTTATGTCATATAGAGAATTGTATTGCTTTTTTACATTAGATCACAGTATAAAATCTATAAATTCTTCAATACTTTTGTCTCAAATACATTAATAAATCTACAGATTAGTAGATGAGAAAGTATCAATAATTTACTGCTGTTTTAGTGAAGGACGCTGCAGAGACATCTTCTGTTATTACTGTTAAACATTTAGAGGGTTTAATAAAATAAGGCCTGCAGTGTAAAAGTAGCCAAAGATTCCTTATCCGGTACAATTCTGGTGCAGTATCAGAAGATTAGAGGCACATCTGGCCCAAATCCAGAGCAGATCAGGAAAACGGGCAAATCATCTGGCATGGATCCGGCCCGTAGCTGACCCTCATCAGTAAAACGGGTCTGTATCGGTATTGGCCCGTTGTGCTAAAAGACACCGGCCCAGATCCGTTGCGCACATTTGGTCCAGATGTCATGATGAATCTGGGCTGGATCCGGGCCAAATACATTTTGTTATCTGGGAAGCTGCTTTAAATCAAAATAGAGAGAGAATAATGCTGACAGAGGAAAAAGTGGGCAATTCTGTTAGGAGGTGTGTGAGTGGCTTTTAAATCTGCCATGTTAATGTAGAACTTGAAGGACTGTTTCGTATACCTACCTCCAGCACAGAGACAGATCTGTCCTCATCCCAACCGGCCGCTCATTCAACCCGCAGGCTCCTCTGATCCTCAGCGTTCTTCCGTCCATCTCCAGCAATTAGCCTCTAGCTGCTAGCATTGGCCTGCCATCGTCTCTTCCTGCTCTGTCGCCATGCCGGGCTCCTTCGATGTCACGCCTTCCTCCTCACGGTAAGCTGCAGCCCATCTCACCTGCTTTAGACCTCTCTCCACCCGGCGGACTAACTTGATCTTCCCCCATTCCTGCTCAATCCTCCATGGGTAGCCTCTAGTTGGCCCCGGCCAGCTGGATCCTTTTGGGGCCATCAGCTGCCACTCTGGTTCCTTAGCAACAGCAGGCGGCATCGCTGGCAGCCCGGCCCAGTTATGGAGCTGTTGAACACTGATTCCCCACCTGCCCTGTCTGACCTCAGGAACGCCGTCTCCCCTTACCTCTGTTGTCCAGGTGATTCATCCCTGTTTTAAGTACTCTAACCAAAACAAACATGGACAGTGACTAGTCTGTCAGCTCTCCATAAATGCAAACCCACTGCCTGTAATTATAAATAGCAATCTCTAAGGCAAGGCAAACATAAAGTAACCTGACAACAGTAGGCGGAGCGAGACATGCATCTGGCTGTTGTCAGGTTAATCATAAAGATCCATAGGTGATAATAAATAACACACTTATAGATAATATATTACATTTATGTCAGTAAATACCTGTGATTATCAAACACTGTACCTTTAAAAAGAATTTCAACTCTTATCTAAAATGTTTTACATTCTATTTTATCAGCGACTATTTAAAATATTCACTAAATAAACTGTAATAATATTAAAATGTATCAATTATAAAACAGACCAATCAGCTTTTTTTACATATAGATAACAATAAAAAATAAATAAATAAAAAGAATAAAAAATAAATTTTAAAAAATTACCTTGTGTCTATTAGCCCCACCCACTGACTTTAATTAGTGAAGTAAACAAAAGACTATAAAGTAAATACATAAATATTTGAACATATGATCAAATAAAATATATTTTTTTATGAATTCCACATTAATGTACCAAAATAAATTATAGAAATATTCTTCTGCATTCCCAGAATGTGATTCTAAACAGCAAACATTCCTTTATTTTAGATCTTCCTGATATTAAATAAATCAATTAAAAGTAAAACATTATTTAAATCCCCACATTTAGTCATATTTACGGATTTTAACTCACTTTAAGGAAAAATTTAATCAGTAAAATAGTTAAAATAAACAGATTTATTGTCCCAAATAACAAATAGTTTCTATTTACATATCAAACAGAATATTATGTTACATATTATCTATAAATGTAACAATAAACCAGCTCCCAAATATAACAAGGTTTCACAATATGGACTGTTTTCAGATCTGCAGATGAAATAGATTAACATCAATGAGCTCTCATTAATCTAATGTATTTACTGGGATTATAATCTGGTTTTATCTGCTGGAGGTTTCTTCCTGATCATTTTTCCTCCCCACTGTTGCCTCATGTATGCTCAGTGTAAGGGATTGCTGCAGAGTAAACAACACAATGCAAATGAAGCCTAGAAGGTATGATTCCTATAAAGTCAATGACTGGATGCAATCCGCTGGTTTTTCTTAGATGGAAAATAGTAAACCAATTTGTAAACATGCTGCCTCATTTGTATTGACTAATCAGGAATAAGCCCAAGTGAGTCAATTGCTTTCACTCTTTAGTGAATTTCAATGAGTCGACATGTGCTCTGCCCTTCTATATGTATCCAGGCTCTATGATGACAGTCAATGTAAATTGGTTATTGGTGAGTATAAACAGTGCATAATGAGAGCTCTGCGGGACATGAATAACCCCGCTAAGACACACAGGTGGTTTTATATCAGGAGCTCTGAGCTTTAGAATCTGATGGATTAATGCTAAAGATCTTTTATTGTTTTGTTAAAATGAGGACATGAAGGCTGTCTTGATTAGATGACCACCGTACACACGGTGACGTCCACAATGTCCTCTACTCTGTCTAATCTGGCTAACAGAATAACAGTGCACATGGTGTATAAATGATAAACCTAACAGTTTGGTAGTTTGTGTGTTTATTTTTTTAAAGGAAGTTACATATTTTCAGTTTGTGATTAATCTGTTTTAAGGGAAGCTTCAGTTTTGCTGACGAAGATTACTCTCAGATAAAGGATACTAGAAGAGAAGTGCTTCAATTAACCTGTAAATCTTACCTACTTAGCAGGTAAGGGTTCAGTCATTAGTTACCGTGGTAACAGATGGCCAACAGTTGCTGTTTGTGTTCATTGGTGTGTCCTTCTTTCCTTTCAGATGTGCTGTCTTGTTGCTTGTTCTGATGAACAATTCATTCACCAAAGCCAGAGCAGAGGCCGCCTACCGTTCTGGTTTTAACAGCAACATGGGAAGAGTTGAGAAATAATCAGCTTTTACGCTCTAAAGGAGTAAACAAACCAAATAAAAACGCCAGTTGACACAAGATGAGTCCAACATATTTCAAGGCAGAGGCTTGGAGAAAACCAGAGGAAGGGAGGAAACCTTCCTGGTTCCAAATATCAGAAGGTCTACATGAAGCCAGCAGCAGTCTGAAGTTCAGCTGCAGCTGCTAAATTCATCAGAATGGTCCTTTAAATGAGGGGTCTCTGATGATGTCATCGACAAGCCCCTCGTCTCAGTGTGACATCATCAACCGCGATCTGCCCTCGTCGTCCATTCCTTCGCTCGGCCTTTAACAGCACCTGCACACATCATCATCATAACATCAGAGTTATAATTATTATCAGAATTAATAGCATCTTTGATCATTAGAGTTATCATCATCTCCACCATCATCAGTCATCAAAATCAGAATCATCATCATTATTATCTTCAATTCTCCCCATCATTTGGACATCAAAGCATTATCCTCTTAGCTTTTGTCATCATCATAATCACCATCATCATCATCATCATCATCATCATCATCATCATCATCATCAACATCACTTTAAGCTCTATGATCTCGTTCTTCTTCTCGTTCTCTAAACATCATCATTGAAATCACAATCATTATCATCATCATCATTGTTGCCATGTTAAATCACCATTAGAATCGTTTTCATTAGATTTATCACAATTATCTTCATCATTATTATCACCTGAATCATCATCATCATCATCATCATCATCATCACCTTCAGCTCTATTATCTCGGTTTTCTCGTTCTGTAACCATCCTCGTTGACATCACAATCACTATCATCATTGTTGCCATGTTAAATCACCATTAGAATCGTTTTCATTAGATTTATCACAATTATCTTCATCATTTTGATCACCTGAATCATCATCATTACATCTCCACCGACACCAGAATCACCAAAACAAAAATGACCATATCCGTCCTAATCTTTATCAGCACTATTACTATCAAATTATTATCTTTCCTATAATAATAATCATCATTACTATCATGATCTTTATTGTGATTTTTATCATCGGTACCCAAAATAATATGTATTTTCTTTATCATCATTAGAATTATCTAAATGATAATCATTACCGTTAAAATTTATCATTTTTAATGGTGATAAACCATGATCATTTTTATAAACATAATTGTCATCATTTTTATAAATATAATTTTCCTCATTATTATAATTTCTGTCATCATCATGATCTCCATCACCAGCTTTATCATAATTGCATCACAATCATCATAACTTACTTTATCCACAGAATGTGCCTCTAAGGTGACCTGCGTCTGTCTCCACCCGTGTCTACCTGTCCTGCTCCAAACAGCGGCGCCATACCTGGAAGAGCCAATCAGAAGCTAGATTTAATGCAGCAGACTTCAGAGGCATTACCGGTACATTTGTTGGAGGTTATAGCTGTGGTACCTTTGGTCTGGTCCTTTTTTGCGGATAAAGAGCTGCAGCACGCCGAGATGATGCCCCGTCAGCCAATGGGAGAAGGAGAAACACATGTCCCCCTGGTTCCACAGAGGGAGTATCTGGATGGCCAGTCGAGCTCCTCGGATGCTCCTTTGCCCAGGCTTTAGGTCAGCGACAGACAGGTACCGCCCACCTAGGATATTAAACATAAACAGACTGAGTTTAAAGTTCATAGGGACTCTAAAGCTTTCTGGGGGGGGTTCTGTTTGCACCATGGTGCTATTACCTGCAGAACTACCCACAGTTTCCCAGTGCAGGTCTCCCTCTCTGTCCGATATCCAGTCACAGAGTCCATGATCAAAGCTGCAGTGGAGCTCACCAACATCTACAGAAAATCAAAAACATTCGAATTTTTGCCCATTTGTTCCTTTTTGCCTCTAGTTTCTGGAGGAGAACAGGGGTCTAATTCCTAAAAAATTACATAAGATCCACAGTAAAAATATAAATACAAATAACATCCAAAAATGGTTTACCCCACAAAAAAATGATGCATACAGACAAGCAAGCAAATTTCCTTCATAGATCACAATTGTACCTCAAAGATTACATAGAAGGCTCCATCTCATATTTGGCCCTTTTGAGCACCACCATTTAACTAGATAGATAGTTAACGCAAAGCAAAAAGGTAAAGTTTAACAAAGGCAGAAATACGCGTGTTATATTAACCCCACCGAATAAGATAAGAGACAGAAATGTGCTCTACACTGACTGTGATATCTCTGACCCATGATGAATCGCTCGGATTGCTTTTTTCCTAAAGTTGGCTACAGACACAGTTAATAATGGGACTGCTTTTGCACCAATTTTGTTTTTCATAGGTCACACTATTTGTGTGGAAAGTGACATACACAAATTTCAGGCATTTCGTGTAGAGCTTTCCTTGCTTGGTTTGACTCCTTACTAGGGGTGGAACGGTTCACAAAATCCACGGCTCAGTTCAGTTCGCAGTTTCGTGGTTCACGGTTTTCGGTTCAGTATATGTTGATTGTTAGGAAAATCTATTATGTCTTGTATAGTATAACGTGTTGCACAATGCTTGCACACGCACACTGTTTTATCCACCACTTTCTTTCCACCGTCATGGTAGGTCACTCTAAATGCAAAGCGGTCCCATACAGCAGACCTATAAAGTGCTGCTGGTGCGTCTTCCAACTCCTGTTCTTTCCCACTCACTATACCCACACAATTCTCCACAACAACTGATTTTTTTCCCTGCTACACCCGGCTACGCTGCTTCGCTTCTTCTTCTTCTTGTTTACTACTGGTGGTTGGCTTTGGTCACAGCACTGCCACCTTCTGCTCTGGAGTGTAATCGCTTCGCCTATGAGAAAAAGGAGCAGCGCATGAACCGAACGCAACACACGCGAACCGAACCGAGACAATCGAACCGAACGGTTCGGACGGTTTTCATAAACCGTTCCATCCCTACTCCTTTTGTATTTTTATGCATTGTCCAGACTCAGTTCTACCATATAGTTGACATTGCAGCTCACAAAGCTCCTTCTGTTCTCACAGTCTGTGTGATTGTGACAAAATTAAGTCTCTTTCTCTTCCTCAGTTGTTTACACAGTATGTTAAACCTGTTTCAGTTATGCCCCCTACTGCTGCATCTGCCAAACCGCAGTGACTGGAGATCAATGAAGTTACAACTTGAAGGTGAGTGATTTCCTAACCTAAAATTTGTTTTCTTGTATTAAACATTTGGTTCAACCTCCCAAACCCCCACCCACTAACTCCCTTGTTTGCCTAGAGAAACAGAGCTTTAGTTAAAAAAGGAGCACCTACCAGGATCATCGCGAGCGTCCTCGGCTGTGTTTCCCAGCTCGATGTCAAACTCCCAGACCTGGTTGTGCCCCGGATGCCGAGGTACTGAAAGACAGGCATAAACCCAACATTTATCAACCGGTGATGACCATCTACGAAAACTCACTTAATTACCAACCGTTAGATATTTATACAAAATTTACAACTAATTTTGACCATATTTGGTATTTAAATAACTCGTTAAACCTTTACTGTGAGAATAGAAACCAGAAATTAGCCAACTGCTAATACATTTTCTCATCATTCTATAAACTCCTTGAGCTTGTCCTCACTGTGAACATCTCCTCTCTGTCTCTGCGTTACATCCTTGTTGATCCTGTTGTTCAACGTCGTTGTCACCAAGGAGGTGGTGGGCGGGGGCGTAGTCACTATGGCAACCGTAGGCTCAGTAGTAGGCGCAGCAGAGGTTGCAGTAGTTGGAGCAGGTGTGGTAACAGCTGGTGTTTCTGTTCTTGTGGTTGTAGGGATAGTTGTTTCAGGGGGTGTTGTTGGGGATGTAGTTGTCATAGCAACAGTAGTGGGAGCTCGAGAGGTTGTTGCAATGGCAGTGGTTGACAAAGAAGTGGTTGTTTGATAAGATGTAGATGAGACAGTGGTAGAAGTAGCAGTAGGAGTGGCAGTGGTTGTAGGTATGGTGGCAGTGGTTGTAGGTATGGTGGTAGTGGTTGAAAGCATAGTTGTAATTATAGTTGTAGGTGTGGTTGTAGGTGTGGTTGTAGGTATAGTTGATGTGGTTGTAGGTATAGTTGTGGTTGTAGGTATAGTTGTGGTGGTTGTAGGTATGGTTGTGGTTGTAGGTATAGTTGTGGTTGTAGGTATAGTTGTGGTTGTAGGTATAGTTGTGGTGGTTGTAGGTATAGTTGTGGTTGTAGGTATAGTTGTGGTTGTAGCTGTGGTTGTAGTGATGGCAGGAATCGTGGATGTTGTGGCAGTGGTAGAGATGAGGGTTGTAGTCTGGGGTCTGTGTGGCTCTAACATTACTGTGAGGATCCCTAGAAAAGAAAAAATCAAATATGTTAGTAGGGATCATTGCTTCTATGTTGTTCATTTGTTATCTGTGGAAATAAATATTCCAAATGATAATTCAGATTAACTGTGATTGATGATGGCTGGAGTGTTTTTGTTCACATCTTTATTCCTATGTCACCACTGTTGTTTCCATAAAGAGATTATTGAGAACAATGATTTGGTTCTGATCAGGACCCCACCCATGCTGCCTAACGTAAACCACAAATTGGGCCAGTTCTTCTACATTTAGAAAGACAAGATAGAACTGTAATTGTTATTATATGTTCAATTTAACTATGAGAGGCAATCCAGGAAATGACATTTTTGGATATTTAAAAAATCATTTGTAAAAGATGGTGGAAAGTACATATAGTGGTCACTCACAGGAGTTCAACTCAATACTTTGTATTATAACTTTGTTGACAATGATGGTTTCCTGTAAGTTTTTACCGGTTTGCACACACTGTAGCTGGTCTTTTGGCCCATCTCCTCTAGAGGAGTGATGTTTTTTTAAGCTGTCACTGACAAAGTGGTCTTTAAACTCAATACTGAACGTATCTATTGGGTTAATGTCTGGAGACCGGCAGGCCATTCCAGGATTTTAAAATGCGTTTAAGAGAACCAGCCCTTCATTGCCTGTGGGGTCATTATCATAATGGATTCAATTCAATTTAGATTTATCAATATAGCGCCAATTCAAAATGCATGTCATATCAAGGCACTTTACAGCAACAATTCAAGCAGAAGGTTGGTACAAAGTTATTTCATCTAAGGAAAAGCAGCTGATTGCATCAACTCACTGACTCGAAGGCAATAAGTATGCTTGTAGCGACAGTGGAGAGGAAAAACTCCCTTTGAACAGGAAGAAACCTCCAGCAGAACCAGGCTCAGTGTGAGCGGCCATCTGCTGAGGCCCACTGGGGTTCAAGGAGACAAAAGCAGACCCACACATGGCCCCTTTCATTCTTCCTTTAACACCACTTAGTTGTCTAAGCTCCTTTTACAAAATTAAAAAGCACCAAAGCATGATATTTCCACCTCCATGCTTCACAGTGTGGTGCACTTAGGATGCAACTCAGCTTTTCTTTCATCAAACATCATGAGTTTATGTAAAAAAGTTCTGTTTTGGTTTCATCTGACTATGTGATATTCTTCCAATCCTCATCCATATGCTATCATATATGTAAATTCTATGTAGTGCAGTGGGATAGACAGAGAGACAGACAGACAGACAGACAGACAGACAGACAGACAGACAGACTCGCTCAGGTATAGGTAAGTAGAGCTGGTGTTTGTGATGAGGTGTTGTTACCTTTGCATCGTCCATCTTTACATTTGCACTTAGGTGAGGAAGGATTCAGGGAGCAGAAAGGTCGAGTGTCCTTATCTGGTTAGAAACAGAGAAACCATCACTGACCAGCTTTATCTATAATGTCATCATAACCATGTGATCACAAATCAGTGACTCTACAGAGAAGAATATGGTGGAGGTTTCAGGTAGATTTATATTTAAAAGCTGCTTTTTTAGATCATTGTTAGTTATTTATTGGCCAAGGGCCAGAGAGGAAAAGTCCTGTCTGTGTCTTCCCCTAAAAGGTAAGATCTCATCCTTGTTTTTCACAGATTATATGGTCCTGCTGGGTCCCTCCTGCCAAGACCTATATGATTCACCAGGGCCGTTCACAGACAAGTCAGACCTGGAAGGGATGAGAATCAGCTTCTCCAAGTCAGAGGCCGTGGTTCCCGACTGGGAAGAGTTGGCGGGTACCCTGCAGGTTGGAGGAGAGTTCCTGCTTCAAGTGGAGCAGTTCAAGTATCTTAGGCTCCTGTTCATCAATGAGGGGAGAATGGAGCAGGAGACTGATAGACGGATCGGTGTGGCTGATGCTATAATGCAGATGCTGGTTTGTTGTGGTGAAGAGAGAGCTGAGAGAAAAGGCAAAGCTCTCAATGTACCGGACAGATAGTTCCTACCCTCACCTAAGGGCATTAATCTGGATCATAACTGAAAGAATGAGATCCTGGATACAAGCAGCTGAAATGATCTTTCTCCGCAGGGTGGTTGGGATCTATCTTAGTGGGAGGAGGAGGAGTTCAGTCATTAAGGAGAGACTCGGAGTAGAGCTGCATCTCCTCCACATCCAGAGTCAGCTGATGAGGCTTAGACATCTTTTTCAGATGCCCCCTGAACGCCTCTCTAGGGAGGTTTTTTCAGACCAATCCCACCAGGAGGAGGCCTAGGACACGCTGGAGGGACTATGTCTCTCAGATGATCCGGTAACAAATCAGGCTTCTCCCAGCAGAGCTGGAGGAGGTGTCTGGGAAAAGGGAAGTCTGGGAGTCCCTGCTGAGAATGCTGCCCCTGCAACCCGGTCCCGGATGAAAAAGAAGACGAGTACGATTCACTAAAAGCTAATTTGCTCCTATCTAATCATTGTTTTTCTAACTGTTGTTAACAGGTTTTGAATCCTAAGTAGTTTTTCCTACTGAAATAAAATAAATGGCATCAGAATTTGAACTTCAGAGGGAATAAATCAGCAAATAGATCTATGTGACACAGAAACAGGAGGTCAGCTTCTATTTAAAGTCTGCAAGAAACAGGAACTCCAAACTAAATATCTGCATTTGTTTGTTTGTTTTTTTGTTTTTTGTTTTTTTTTTTATGCTTTAAAATCACCTGAAAAATCTAAAATAAAATCCTTGAAAACATTGATTTTAAATGCTAGAAGGTCTGAGAAGGTTGAAAGTACCCGGTTCGATCCCCACAGCCTGCACTCTGAGTCCCTGAGCAAGACCCTTAGCCCCACACTGGGATGGGTTAAATGCAGAGAGTGAATTTCTCCAATGTGAGATTAATAAAGTTCAATTATTTATTTTCAACCCTGTCAAAATCCATCTTAGACCTCTGCTAAACAGAAAGCTCACCCTAGTAAGCTGTTGTTTGTAGAGCTTTGATACTTTGTCGATATCTAGATGTTTTAAGCTTTGCTTAATTATTCATTAGCATTTAAATGCTGATTCGATTGATTATTATTATTAAATAAAATTATAACCTAGAAAAAGACCAGATCCTTTCTACAGTAGATCTTCAGAGGGTGAACTTTCCTCTTTTACATTACTGTAATTACTTTATGTCACAGACAGATACAGTAAAAATACAGTGGAAAAAATCTAAATCTAGATAAGTCATTATTTCTTAAAATAAGTGCATTTCTTCTTGAATTTAGAAGGTAAAAGACATATTTTGCCAATGGAACAAGAAAATTTACATTTAAAATAAGAAAACACAATTACATTGTCTTATTTCAAGTGCATTTTATCTAAATACCTTATTCTAAGAGTAAAAATACTTATTCAATTGGCAAATCATCTGATTTACCTACTCAAATTAAGGGTAAATTCACTTAATTTGACACATTTTTATTTATTTCTAGATCGTTTTTCGAGTGTAGATTAATTTATCAGATTAAGATGGAGGCAACAGTTTAGATTCAGAGGAAAGTAGATCATCTTCTGTAAAGCGAATGGTTCCTTAAAATATTTCATATATTTTTTACATAAAGCTTTAACATTACTGAGCTCTATTTTCACGGCTCTGCTGATCTCCTAATAAAACAAAGGTATTACCGGTATTGTTAAGCTGTACACCAGCAGCTCTGATTCTCTGCGCCCTGTGATGGATTTCAGGACAAGCTGCAGTTTGTTTAACCATCAGGCCAACAGAAGGACCGCTGGAATGTAAACAAAGCAGCAAACAGCCCACATGATGTCGTCCCGGGACAATAGGCTGAACCTGACGGTGAAAGACGAGCTGCTTTCAAAAGCGCCTGCGACACCATGCTAACGTTTTTAGCGACCTATTCACACTCCTACAGTTTAATTCCATTTGTTGGGTTTTATCTGACAGACCAACAGGAAGTGAGGCCAAATTTAAAATACTGTGTTCATCTCACTGACTGGATTGTTCAGAGTTGCAGGTCTTTTGAGTTACAATCTACCTGCTCTGGATCTACAAACTGAAAATTTTCTTTGCAAAAAAACTCAGGCTCAGTAGAATGAAAGAGTGCCATATTAAAAGTCTTCAATTAAATTGAGTTTATGTATACAGGGCCAATTCACAACACATGTCATCTCAAGACACTTTAAAGATATAATTCAACCAGGTCATACGGTGAAACTGATCCAAAGTATTCTATCTAAAGAAAACCAGTTGATTGCATCGACTAAGTTCACACTGCAGGCCTTGATGCTCAATTCCGATTTTTTGTGAAATCCGATTTTTTTGCGTTGCCGTTCATATTTCCAATGCATGCACAGTAGAGGACGCAATGACGTCACAGGCTGCGTGCTCTGCGTTTACGAAAGCAAACATGGACGATAGTACCGGCACGCATCTAGCGATCTTTTCCAACAATAAAAACTCAATCTTTTCACATAAATTAAACATAAATACTGCTCTCCGCATCATCATCTGCCATTGTTGTTGTTTTTCTTGCCGCTTCTGCATAGCAAGACGCAGAATAGTGATCTTTGTCTGGTATTAATGACGTTCAGGTCGGATAATCCGACCTGGCCGTACAGACACAGGTCGCAATTGAAAAGATCAGATTCCTATCGGATTCAGGACCACATAGCCAAGAGGCCTGGGTCGGATTGGAAAAAATCTGATCTGTGTTGTTGAGACTCCCATGAAAAGATCAGATCCAGGTCGCATATGAACCAAAAAAATCGGATTTGGGTCACTTCAGGCTGCAGTGTGAACGTAGCCTTTGACTCTAAGCATGCTTGTAGCGACAGTGGAGAGTAAAAACTCCCTTTTACCAGGAAGAAACCTCCAGCAGAACCAGGCTCAGTGTGAGCGACCATCTGCCGAGGCTTCTAACCAAACCCTTTCAGTTGGACTTGGGTCTGGCCTTTGACTAGGCCATTCTAACACTAGTTAAATATAAACCATCATATCTCTGCCCGACTTTAGGCTATTTGTCCTGCTGGAAGGAGAACCTTCACCCCAGTCTAAGGCTTTCTGCTTCTACCAGGTTTTCCAAGCCTCCCCACAGCATGATGACACCACCACCATGTTTTAATGGTAAGGAAGGTGTTTAAGCATAGCTGCCTGCTGTTTTTCTTTGTCTCCTCTAATGTTCCTGGTCAAACATCTGATGTCAGAAACAGAACATTTGAGTTTGGACTCTTTGAATTTTTGTTACCATGAAAGTGATTCCTACTGAGTTTAATTTGAAAATGATCTGTTGCTATCACTGCTTTGTGCTCCTCTGTTCCTTCAGATGTAAATGAAATTCATTCAATTTGCAGCTGTAGTCTGATCAAATGTTGAAAAATTTAGAGGTATTTCTACTTTTAGAGGACACTCATTACAAAAAAGTTAAAAAAAAAAAAAGTTAAAAGACAATCCACTGGACTTTTTTTTCAAGTTGGAAGATGCTTCGCTTCCCATCCAGGAAGCTTTTTATATTCAACAGACATGGGCACTGTGGAGTCAACAAGTCATCTCCATGTCATGTATTTAATCTACCCAGCCAATTAACCAGGTGAGTCCAATCTGCACAGGTTAATTCACGGTGAAGATTGGACTCACCTGCTTCAGTGGCTGTCAAATACATGACATGGAGATGACTTGTTGACTCCACATTGCCCATGTCTGCTATTCAATTCCTGTATGGCAAGCAAAACATCTTCAAACTTGGAAAATAAAGTCCTGTTTTGGAATGACTATGACCTTGATGACTGATAATCTTCACCAACACATAGATGACAGATACTCTAGATCCGACCCGTTACTGTAACCCAGCCATGCAGCCTCACCGACGCAGGCGTAGCGCCCGTTGATGTACATCAGCTTGAAGCCCAGGTGACATTTACAGAAGAAGCTCCCGAACGTGTTGTAGCACTTCCTGCGACGGGGACACACTCCACCTCCCTGAGAACATTCGTCGATGTCTGCAGAGAGGAAAAGTCAGCCATGATAAAACAACAACAGAAAGGTTCCCTGAGCTCAGGACCAGAGACTGACCCACACAGGAGCGTCTGTCTGGGCCCAGCCGTAACCCCGGAGACGGACAGGTACACCGCACCTCGCCTTTCATCACCTCACAGCCGTACTGGCAGTTGGCATGGTAACAGGTTCTGACATCTAGAGGAAAAGGCCGAGGCATTACATCAGATATGTGGGAATCAGGTATGTGGAAAATAATCTGCAAACAGGAAGAGAGGGAAGAGTTTCTGACTCCTGCAGCTGCCGTCGGGCTGCAGAGCGTATCCGTCCAGACAGTAACACTTGTAGCTGCCCGGCGTGTTCATGCAGCGGTGCTTGCAGGGCCGAGGCTTCACGCCGCACTCGTTCAGGTCTGAAACGCACACATAAGCAGAGGAAGGGGGTCAGAGGTCAAACATTAACCCGAGAGCTCCTCGTCTTCTCTTTTCATTCCTGACGTTGGTTTGTTGGATTAACCTCTGACCTCCAGCCCACTTAGTGAGCAGGAGAGCTTTCAGAGTGTGTCTGCATGTATTACTATTCCTGTGGGGACCTTAAGGTCCTCAGAGACTCAAAAATAAGAGCAGTTTGTATAAAGAGAGACACCTTGAGTTTTCAGAGGATGCTTAGTGTTTTAACCAGGGTCCTCAGATGGTTAAACCAGTGACTGCATCGTGTCCCTGAGCGCCCTCCCAAACATGGGTGTTATATTACACGCTGCCGGGGTGTGAGGTAGCGACCAGTTGCTGTTCAAAGTCAGGATATGAGTCAGAATGAAGCCTCTAATCAGTGATGCTGTGGGTTTGGTGTGTATCAGTGGGTGGAGTGAGTGTGCTGGAGCTGATCTTAGATTAAGGAGGCGTGTCTCTGTGCATTTTTTTCTTTTTTGAGGGGTTCAGGTAAGACACGCCCTCAAAGGTCAACCAAGCATCACAAGAATGCGTCTGTCGACTCTTATTATATGAAAACACAGCAAGAATGGTCTCCTTGAGACCAACATCTGGATCTTCTGGGTCCAGATGTCCAGAGTAGCACCCAGTCCTTCACCTCTACATGGAAACTCTAGGTTACCTTGGTTACAGGCTTTGCCGGTGTATCCAGGGCGACATTTGCATCTGTCCGGTCCAACGCAGTCTCCATGTTTACAGCCCTGCGGACAGTCAGCTACACACACACAGAGAGAGAGAGGGGGGGGGGTTAATGTAAAAAAAGTGAGGGCTTCATCGTGTATGAACATGTAAAAGTGACTGACTCAGGATCAACTTTCAGACCAGCATCTAATCCTCCTGGAAGCCGCTCATGTTCGACACGTTTTAGCTCATTAACAGTAAAACCCAAACAGATCCTTCAGGCTCAGGACGCGTTTCCAAGCAGCTGCCGGTTTCACATAAATAATCCGTCAGACAACATGCGGTTTGTATGGGTTTGTGTTGACAGGCGGTCTCCCTCGTCTCGGCGCGTTTGTCTGCCGCACAGCAAGAAGACCTCCTAATCTCTGCAGGTGGTCTAACTGGAACAGCTTTTTCTGATTTTGGCTGCTTCACTTTTTATCAGAGCAAATGAACAGGGCTGCAACTAAGAGCCAGAGCTGCACATTACAGCAGGTAAAACCTGGGATATTAACAGGCTGACAGGGCGTAATGTAATAGTTGGTAGGATGTCATATTTCATGTATGGACGCGCTGCACAGTGTCCATAAAAGGGACATTTGAGATTGTATAGTATATAGTATCTTCCTGCATCACTCAGCTTAATGTTACATTTAAAAAAAATCTTACTATTAAAACCATTTCCTGCCAAGCAGAATATTTCCGCCCCTATTTAATTGTTTGAATCAGAGGATGCAGTGATAGAAGCCGAGCTTGATGTGGATTCCTGTGTTAGGACTTGATAATAATCAACTTTATAAATTTTTTTTTGTCATTTATCAAAACACTGAAATAAAATCAATTAATCAGTTTTGGAATGAAAACTCATTGTTTATTTTAAGCCATATTGCTCAGCCCTGATCTGCATTAAGTCCACCTTAAGTACAAATAAGCAGGATTAAAGTGAGCCTTACATTTCCTAATTGGTTAACATGATGGATGGGAATTAGCTATATGCAACCCAGACAATATTCAGAATGGTCTGGGTTGATTTTAGTAGATGTTATTATTGCAGTTTTCATTTTAGAACATGACAAAGTGTTATTTTCAATAAGGAAATTAAGATCCAAGCAGATAATCTTCAACCTAACAGATGCATTGTAGTTTAGCTGATCATCCGATGAGAAGAGTTTAGCTAACATCTCTTTGGGAATCACCTGTTTGCAGGTAAAACTCTTTTCTTTGAGAATCAAACTGTGTCTTCTCATTACCCCAGTGGGCCTCAGCAGATGGCCGCTCACACTGAGCCTGGTTCTGCTGGAGGTTTCTTCCTGTTAAAAGGGGAGTTTTTCCTCTCCGCTGTCGCTACAAGCATGCTTAGTGTGAGGGATTGCCTTCGAATCAATGAATTGATGCAATCAACTGGTTTTCCTTAGATAGAAAACGTTGAATCAATCTGACTGGATGATCTGGTTGAACTGTAAAGTGACCTGAGATGACATGTGTTGTGAATTGGCGCTATATAAATAAATTGAATTGAAATGAATTGAATCCATAACCCATGTAAATTAATATTGTTTAATAATCAGGATCCCGCAGAGCTTTAGCTTCAAAAAGTTAAACATTATGCTGATGACACTCAGATTTATTTATTGGTAAAGGAATGTGTCAATTTAACTCATCTTCATACTTCTGTCAAAGATTAAACCTAAGATTATTTTCTTTTATTAAAGTGTGAGGACCAGTGTCTCAAAGTTTTCTTTTCTTTGTTATCTGTAATGCTGAGCCTAACAGCAGAAAGAAAACAGTCAGATGAAAGAAAAGAAGTAGCAACTAGTTTGTTTCACTAAGTGAATTTTTTTTACTTCCAGAATAACAATTCTTCATTATGACCAACACAATGATAAAACAGGTAAGGATTCATGTCCTTCTTTCTTTAAGGTGTTTCCTTTTCTTTTTAAGCACTTTAAACAAACCAGAGCACTATGTGTCGACCACTGTGGTCCAACTGACCCAGAAACATACATTTGTTGCTTACATCATGCGTACTGACATGGAGATGACTTAATCCTGTTGTTTTTCCTTCAGGTTTTAAGAGTGGAGGTGTGAAAAACACCCACGCACAGTTTTTATTCCACTGTTAAATGTTACATTGTTTGACTATAAAAGGTAAAACGAGCTGCAGCTTTCTGGAGTGAGGCTCAACGCTCGGATTCCAACAGAAAAATGAAGGGATTACAAGATAATCCCCCATCAATGCATCAGAGTGTTCGTCCTTAAACTCTATCTGTTACATGAAAAGGTGAGGCAAAGACCAGGGTGTCTGCTGGTAGGTTTACAGACCAATGGAAAGTGGGAGATTTCAGATGTGCTGCATTTATTGAACAGGAAAAATTAGATCAGATTTATCAAGATTAGATCCGTTAATTACCAATTAGAGGGAATCCTGGATTATAGCAGCCCATAGATTGGTGCATCTTGACTTCCAAAGACTTATGAATGATGTGTGGAGATATGTTGGGGGTGCAGCATACAGAGGTACTTTGAGGTCTTCTTTTAAAGAGTCAGAGAAGAATAATCTGGGGTTAATCCCACTTTATTCTTTATTCAATAATAAACGAGAAAAAATTGAGCCTTTCAGGCTTCTTTTTAAAGGTTCAAATAAATAGGGCCACTGAATCTTTGATCAGCTCCCAGAGTTAATTATCTTTATAGCAGGCCAACCCAGTGTCAGCCCTCGGGGGGCGCCGTCCTGCAGGTTTCAGAGGTTTTTCTGCTTCAGCACAGCTGATTCTGATTATTGCAGTTTAGAAAAATCCTGTTAATCATCAATCCGTGTACGGTTCGTTTTTAGTTTTTTTTTTTTTTCGTTTTAAAACAAAAACGAAAAAACAAAACAAGCATGTGGTTTTTTTGTTTTTCCGTTTTTAAACGAAACTTAAAAAAACGGCATTTGCAAAAATGAAAAAAAGGGTACGTTTTGGGATTTTTTTAACTGCAATGGCAACCAAAGACAAACTTTTATTTTGTTGTTAATTCAACCGACCTTATGGCAGAACCGGAAATGAAGACCTGAACTCCCAACACAAAACTTTTTTAGTTACCACTAGGTGGCGGTAATGTACGCCTTCAATTTCTTGCCAAGTGCCATTACAATCCACAAGAAGAAGAACCTTTTCAGTTAGCACTACCAACATGGAAACGTTTAGCTCTGTTCGAAATCCTCCAAGGACGCGGTCTACCTAGACCTGGATCCTTCGAAGTCCTTGAAAATAAGAAGACCGGAAGAGTTTTGGCTGTGAATTCGACCAGGTCTACCCTTCGGTGGGTTTTACCGCTGTAGGCTATGTTAGTTAGCAACCGTGAAAGTTGACACACAAAGCAGGAAAAGAATGAAAACCGAAACTTTCAAAACTGTTCATCTAAATTTTCATTTAGATAGCAAAACAAAACTCAAACGCTGTTGATTTTCTATTAATTCCATTTTTCATTTTTTCGATTTAGGTTTTAAAAACAGAAAAACCGCATGCTCGTTTGTTTTTTCGTTTTTGTTTTGAAACGAAAAAACCAAAGAACGAACCATAGCCTACACGGATTATCATCTATCAAAGGAAACTTGCTGTGCTGAAGCAGGGAAACCTCCAAAACCTGCAGGCCAGCAGTAACCTGACTCCGCCAGATGGATTTACTCCGCATATCCATCTGGAAACCTTCCGTTGAAGTAATTTTGGGAAGGGGCGAAAATACTGGTTAGCTGATTGGCCTATGTTGGTGATAGACGGGCCATATAAACCAATCAGATCAACGAAGCATATGACGTAACAGAGCAACGATGAAAACAC